TCATCCAGAGTGGTTTGGTGTGAAATGCTCTGTTCTAGAGAAACTTACAGAGACTGAGTTGTTCACAGTGGTGGTAATAGGAACCAGATGTCTGAAGAGTTTAATAAAGAGGTTTACTACTTTTTTATTTAGAACTCAGAAGACACACGTAGATTCACTGTTTTTTTCATATAGCAAATAAAATGGCTATATTTGTGTTGTAGACACTGTGACCCCTGGTTCCTATCACCACCACTGTAAAAAAGACTTCTCCAAAATGCACCACTCCACATCAAACCACTCTGAATGGCTTTGTTAACTAGTGAATTATGCATCAAACTCCCCTTTAAGTCCACTGCAAGACATCTTGGAGGCACACAAATTTCAGTGACCCTCTTAATGTCAATAAAAATCATCCCCCTGGACTTTTTTTTTAAAAGAATAAAGATATTTATATGATCTAATAATCATTTTAGTTAAAATAATGTAGGTCAATCTTTCAACAATTGTACAGTCACTTTAAGTGTACCCCAGAGGGTTTTTAATATATTGCACATTCATAAAACATTTTCTTCCTTATAGGTTCTAATACCTTTTTAATGTAAAACCAAAAAAATAGGTATATTTGCCTAGAGCCATTTTCAATCAAATTGCCTGGGGGGGAAATATAGTCATTTAAAACAGTTTTATCATGACTGCCTCTGATAATGATGTCTAACACTAAATGGTTTATCATATCACTCATCACCTTTCTAGACATTGCACAGCATTTGGACAACCGAGAAAGTTTCTGTGTACAAAGTAATGAACCTCAAGCACCACTTCAGGCCTTTTGGTCGTACCGTTTGTGCTTCCGGGTGCATTTGTGCTCTCGTGTCCCAGATGGCTTCCAAGTTCCAAGCTGATTTGGACGCATCTTACTCACTTTTTTTTTCTTTTCTTTTTTCTTTTAAAAACACATTTAGGTTTTACTATGCATTCACTCAGCCTTCGTAATAATTCTCATCCTCTCGGATTAGGGTTTACAGTACCTTTCACTGGTAGGCAATATGTGCAGGTAAGACATAATACATTTTTTTTTTTGTATTCTACACTTATTTACATGTGATTTATAGAGATATTATTTTACAATATTCACAGACTGCAATGCTTTTTGACATAGTTGGAATACGTTGATGGTACAAAAGATTATACAGTTATGTCTACGGCAACTGAACCAGTAATATGATGATCATGTCAGAGGTCTGATGTTCCTCAGGGAGCCTGTGCAGTATATGACTGTGCCATTAAATAACCTTAATAAGTATTTGATATTAAAAGTATTCAATATGTGACATTAAACTGTTCTCTCTGTCTGAGGTACTCCAACCATGCAAAGTAAGCCACTGAAGATTTAGGACAGACGGCAGTATTGAGGCTCAACTTTGATGTGTCGTTATGTAATCTGTCAATTAAATTTCAAAAGCTAAAGAAATGTAAAATTTATGATTAAGAGATAAAGAGAGAGCTTTGCCCCATCCCTCTTATTCTGTTCCTTTGGTATGGTCTATAACATTCTAATTTTTTCTTAAAATACATCTAAAGACTCCTGCATCGTGATCATAAATAAAATGATTTAAATATATTTCACTGGCTGTGCAATGCTTGGTCTGTTTACTACATTCATGTTATTGGCAGAGGTAAGAGGGGTGAAATGTACTGTTTAAAACAGGGCTGTTTGTTTTGATACTAGGGCCCAACCGATATGAATATTGGCCAATTTAAAGGTTCGATAACACATAATATCTACCAATATAATTTTATATTGTTGTACTTTAAGGTCCTGGATATCTACGTTCCTGCAGAATTAGGATTTTAACTAAACTCTGCAGGAAAATAGATCTCCAGGAGGTGGTTTGGTGACCACTGCTCTGAGAGTTTTACAGCTAACTCAAATAATCAATAACTCACAATCTGAAAAAATATAAATATTGTAGCACTAGGGTGGAGCTACCAGAATTCCTATAATTTGCATTAATTACATTTTCTAATTGGTCCACCTGATAAAAAAAAAAAAAGTTTTTTTGTGTTGTAGCATGTTACAAACATTAGATTTTATCTTTCTGTTTCTAATCAGTATAGCAGTTTGTGCTCACCTGGTAGAGAGAGTGTTCAGTGTGACGCTCGCTCTACCATTTATGAATGACTTTTTGTCCTAGTGGCACAACCACTTAAGGTTTCACCTTATTGTTGGGCAATTGTGAGCGTGAATTTCAGAAAGTTGGTAGTTATTTGTGATATTTTTGGCAATACCGATAAACTGCGGGCCATCAGTGTCGACCGCTATTATTGGTCAACTGATATATCGGTCGGGCTTTAATTGATACACTTTGCTGAAAAATATGCCAAACATTATTCTGGTCAGGCTAGATCAGGGGTGTCCAAACGTCTTTTAAAGAGTGACAGATCTTTATTCACAAATGAATCAAAATGTTAAGTTTTCAAAGATAATAGAATCAGAGCTTTCTGGGTGCTACCATGTTTCCTATCACTGCATAAAAGATGCACAAGCCTTCTTTTATTGTTAGATTGCTCACTGCAATTGGGATTGTTAAGCACTTGGAACAAATAATTCATGTCTTATAGATATAAATTATATTCCTATTCAAGTGTTTACTTGTTCAAAAACATGTGAGACAAACTAAACAAAACTATAAATTTTCAGTTTTGTGTTATGTTCTTTACTTATCAAATAAATGCAGCAACTGCATTCAGAAATGACTTTATTAAAACAGAAGATCAGATTAAACAGCATAAATAGCCAAGTTTTTTTTTGGCCTTAAAGGGGTAATATTTACTGAACTACTGACTTTGCTCCAATTAGAAGTAGCTGCTTTGCTTCTGCTTAGCCAGTTAGCTTCAGCTGCTTTTGTTTCTATGTCCTCTTTTCTCCTCAATGTCCATGCTTTGTTTCATGTCTATTAATATTGGATTAATTACGCATTTGCTGGAGCTCTCAATGGAAAAAGTATTCAAAATTCCCTCTCACCAAAAGTTTTCAGTGTTAAGTTTTTGCTTTTTGGCTGTAGTCTCGACTAAATGACATTCAGTAAATTAAGCTGCAGGTCTCGGCAGAGAAAGAAGCTTTAGCTAACTTAGTTAGCACAGTGCAGCACATTACACTGTAGTTTTACAGCACTGCTGCCACCATCAGGTGAAAGGAAAAAATGCAACAAACTGGCTGTCGGGCCACTAATAACACACTCTTAAACAGAAACTACAGGCCAATTAAAATCTCTCCACAGGCTGCATTTGGCCCTGGGGCCAGACTTTGGACACCCCTGGCCTAGATGTTCATAGCCATGTGATAAACAGTACAGAAAATGCGCTTGATATAACAAAAATCAAGCCGCCTATTAGTGTGTGTGCAAGCAGCTATGCTGCCCACGCTTCCAAAAGAGATCATTGATATTCCAAGCCACTAAACTAAGTGAAGCCAAGAATGCTCAACAGAGCCAGTCAAGTGAATGTATTTTTTGACTTTTCATGCCTCAAAGGAAAAGAGCATAAAATCAATTACGCCACTGATTAACAGACGGATGACATTTTCTCTCTCTCTCCAACTATTATAACCCTCATAATCAGAGCGTGGCTTCAACTGGTGTGTCAAAATAAATTAATTACATTACGTTGAGAATTATTAGAGCATGTCACTTCATTCTGTTTTGCAGAGTGAAGATTGACAGCCTTTTTGTTAAAAAAAAATGATACATCCCAAGTTGTTCTGCTAATGAACAAAAATTCTACACTGATATTTGCGTAACTTATAATCACTTCTTTAGACTGTATTTTGATTTTCATATTGATTTTTATAGGTTGCATTTCACAAAAAAATAAAATTCTGTTTAAATAATCTTATTCCTATAGTGATATTTTTGCACTTTACATTAGATTAAACACTTTTCAGTTTTGAAATAGTATATCAACCCTGCTGTTATTATAGTTAATATTTGTGGTTATTGATTACACCCATAAGAATAAACTGAGATGTGATCTGTTGCCTATAGTTGGTCCATCAATAGGAAGCAAAATGTAATAATCAATGTTTGTTGACCACACTATCATTTATGAATGCAATCCTTTTGTCTTTGTTCAGTGTTCATCAGTGGCAGTATTGGGCAGTGTGTGTTCTTGTGTGCAGCTTTGCCCTTATGTTGATGTGTGTGTGTGTGTGTTTTTATGCGTAAGTGTTTTTCTGTGATATAAACCTAAAATGCAGTGTATTATCATATTATTTTCTACACCATATTAAACTTTTCACCTCTCCTTCAAAGTAAGCCCAAACTTATCCCATTTTAAAATATCACAATTCCACATCAATATAGGCCGCAGTTTCAATACATGAAGGGGGGATGGTGTTGAGTTTCCACCCACTGTGCGGAACCACTTTTACAGCATGGCTAAAACTCCAAATGGAGACTGATATGGTGAAGAGGTTGGACCGTTAGTTGAGGTTTGGAAATGGAGCGAGGAAAAGCTGAAAGGTGGATTACGCGTGGTCTTCTGTGCTTCCCGAAGTGTTGAAATCAAACCTGGCTCTCACGTCCGCCACGAGGCACCAGCTATTTTTAGCGGGGGGCACTGTGGGGACAGCATGAAATTATTTATTATACGGGTGTGCGTTTGTCATCCGACCTTTGGGCCACCTGAACGCAACCACTAGCGCCACGGACATGCTAAGGTCAACGACAGACATACATTTGTGCTCATCTGTGCTAGAGGACACCATGATCCGAAAGACCAGGAAAGTGTGCTTCTTTCATGAAAACGATGCCTTTTCTGGGCTCCAGAAAGAAGGATGCTTACAAGTCAACTTGAAGGTAAGTCTCAAGTGATCCTCCAGTGAATCACTCAAATCAAACGAGATCTGAGAACAGAGACGAGTCCGAGGCAGTAGTGAAGAATCGCGTACGTTCACAGCTCACAGCTTTGTATTCCTGCTTCGAGAGGGGTCCAAAATTCTCCCGGAGCCCTGCGGTCCTTCAGAGGCGGTACTTGCGCAGCAGGTCAGCCTGCCACATGTACTTGCGCTCTGGGAAGTGGTCTGGGATCTTGATCTTACGGAAGTCCTGGATGCACTTCTCCAGCTCCTCTTCCACGGTCATCTTCTCCTTAGTGGGTCGCTTCTTGCTGGTGCTAGTGTCCCGGGCACTTGCGGTGAGGGTGCGAAGGAGGTCGCTCTTGCGCCGCTGCTCGGACTGCTGCTGCTGCAACAAATGCTGCACAGGGCCTTTCTTGGGTGGCCGGTCCAGGGTCTGTACATGCGTCTGTCGGCTCACGGGGCCACGGATGACCGTGCCCTGGGGAGAGCTGGCCTCCGACTGGCTCTCGGAGCTGGAGGTAGAGAGCTCGTTGAAGGAAGTACCGCTCTCGCCCTCACCTTCTCCTTTGTGGCCCTTGCAGCAGCAGTCACAAGGTGGTGAAGACCAGCGAGATGGACCACCTGAAACAGAAAGACGAGAATATGAATGACAACAAAGACACATTGATTGGTTTGCTGTTGACATTCAGTTTATGGACTCCCATAAGAGCACTGCTTTGATCTAGAACTAAGAATATATAATCTAATGTGACACTCTAAGCCTGAATTCCACTGCTTTAATTGGTTAGTGCTCCTGCTTTGTTGGAATGAAAACCCTCAGCCACACCGGCTCTTTGCAGATAAGACTGGACACCCCTGCTGTATCCAATGAATATTTTTGAACGGCAGATCACTCTCGGTCTAGCAGTGACACTGCTATGTTGCACAATAACACTCGTACCAGAACCACACATACTACAACTGTGTTGAGAATGGTCCACTGACCAAATAATACCTGGTTACCAGCGGCTTCGTGGTCAGTAACTGACCAGTGACGAATGGGGTACAGCAAGGGTGTACAACTCGGTCCTGGAGGGCCGGTGTCCAGTACAGTTTGGTGATTTACCTGCTCAAACACACCTGATTCAACTCACCCATTAATTGCAAGGTTCAGTGGGTGTGTTTGAGTAGAGGAACTACCAAACTGTGCGGGATACCAGCCCTTGAGGACCGGAGTTGTACACCCCTGGGGTAGAGAGTGGCTGACAACAGATGGGCTACAGTCTGCAACTCAATGCCTAGAGAGGACCCATAAAGCTTCACATCAGACTATTTTCTGTCAGGCAGTAAGGCTGATCCTGGTGCAACATGATTGGAGGCAACAGACAGTGATCAGCTACAAAAAAGAAAAAGTCAGCTCTTCCCAAAGTTCACCACAAAAGGGAGAATTTGTGATGGACTCAATGTCTAGTAAAGGGCATGAAGCTTCATTAACTATAACAAAAAAGCGCAAGTGAAGGAAACCTAATAACCACTGTTGAGGTAAAAAAAAAAAGTAATCCATTACAAATGACTAATTACATCTCTGAAACTGTAAGTTAGATTAACAACAAGTTAGATTAAGATTATGAGTGGATAATGCTGTTTGAAAACTGAGAAAATGTTCATTAGAAACATACTGACTTTGAAAAGAGCTGCCTCGAAAGCCTCAAAATTGTCATGGGGTTTCCCCTCTGCAGCTTGTGGAGAGAAAGCACATGGGTTTCCCCATTTAGCTTTGATTCACTCCAGCTCCACCCTGGCTCCTCCCTCTGGAGAGTAAGCACATGGTTTCTCACGTTTTGTACTGGCTCACTACAGCTCCAGCTTCACCCTGGCTCCGCCCACACATTATTACACTCACCTGCAGCTTGTTTTGGACTCGTTATCTCCTGTGTACATACGCTGCTTTATATGGGTCACGCTTTGCAAGTCTTTCTTTTTGTTCTCTGAGTTCTGAGCTCTGTTTTTAATTATTGGTTTCCTTTGTGTTTTGTGTCTTGCTTGTTTTTCTGAACAATGATTTGCCTGTACTGTTGCTGCCTGCCTGTGACGACCATGAGTGTTGGATTGCCCCTTAAAAAGCCATTTCAGACATGTATCATCCATCAACTCCCCATTCATTATAAAATTAAAATCTTTAAGATAAAATGTAAAATGACAGGCATGGACAACCTGTGTAGAAGAAATGTAAGATTTACATTTAAATTGCATTGTGCATAATTCATATTGTTCTCTTAGAGACATATGAGTAATGCAGGTATTATTATATTATAGTTATGACCGCATATAATGCAGTATAGGCCACATATAGTGCTGTTTTAGTTATCCAGTGTTTATTACACATTGACCCAACTTTTGCCAGTCAGAGGAAGAGAAGAGCATCCCCCTCTTTTTTTTTGATCTAATGCATTTTGCCATATCACTTATGAAGATGTGGCGCCACCCCTGAAAGCGCATACTGTAAGCATGTCCATTACGAAGGGACACCATCTGAGGTGGAAAGGCAATTTCCAGCACAATTCACCACGCACAGTGTTCCTAATGAAGTCAATTACACAGGCTGTGTTTTCTGAGGGCCGTCAGTAAGGCATTGTGTCTTTTTGCCCCCCCCTCCCCCCACCCACTGATCTACACTATTTCGCAACACTGATCCATGTCAGATTTTTAATTATGCAACTTCAGTCCATTTGCATTTAATTATGCAAATTCCACTCCGGATGTCAGAAATGATTCACAGCATGCGAGCTTGCTCTTGATTGGACCCATTAGTTGTCTGTATGGATGTTTATGCACGTAATCGGGGGCACACGGACTTAATTGAATGTGTTATAAAAGGTAATTGGGTGGTTATTGTGTGGCTGTGTCCATGTGTGGAGGATACCTCTGGAGGACACCTGACGTGCACAACAAAAAAATCACAGAGCAAAGATAAAATGCAATTCCTGCCTCACTGAAGTCGTCAGCAAACTACGTGAACATGACTTTGTAAGATAGCGGGATGTAATGTCTGTGGAAGCACAAAAGAAGTTATGTTCTCCTCAAACTCTGGGTGAGGAGCTAGCAATCAATAGTTCATCACTGCAAACTTTGTTTTAACTCCTCCAAATGGTATTTCAGTGCTAGCAGTGCCACTAAATATTAAAGGTTTCGATTTGTCTCTGGATTGATGAGCTATTGATTAGAGCTGAACAAAGTGCAATACAGTGCACCGTTATTCATGATGGATTAAAAGTTAATGAGAATACATCAGAGAGGCACACATTTACACACCCGCCGACAACAAGAAAAGACCAGTACTGGTTACAGCGGAAACTGGCAGAATTTCCACAAGTCGTATATTTAGTATGATCAATTGGTATTTGTCAGTATGCCATATCCAGAACCACAATAATTTGTGATGGTAGCATTTGTGCAGGTTTGTAATCCAGTGCCTATGAGACAGTCAGTGACTTAAAATAACCCAAAACTGCCATTAGCAAAACAGGGCACCTGTCTATACTCAAAACACCAAAGCAGAGGCCCATCAGGAGTGTCAGGAAATAGATCCTTTTTCGCTTTTTATACAACTCAGAGTGGAATTCATTTGTGTCAGTTGGTATAAAGAGGAACCTTTGATCGATGAGCTGGAGTCTCATAATTGGTATTTTGAAAAATAGGCCTTGACTTGGCAGAACAGCTAAATCTGCTGGTAGCCAATTTTTCTGTCTAAATAGAATTAACAAGATGCACCAAAGCAGTGTTGACAAATACCACACATTAAATGAACCTTGGTGAATAATCTGGCAAACCATACAACTGTCTTTCCGGGGGAATTCCCTGACATGCTGTTTATATCCTCCTGCATTCAAGAACTATAACAAAAGCGACACCCTACTGTATACACTGAAGATACTGAAATGCAGTCAACACTGGCTCTACCTAATAAGTAACATAAGCAGCTGCTTGGGGCCCCATGGCCACCACGTGCCCCCACTAACAAGATCTGGGTTATTACTGTACCATCAGAGAATGCGTAGAGAGGAGAACTGCCACTCAGCAGTGTCTTCCTGGTTTGTCAAACACTAAAGGCCGCTCTTGAGCGAGTCTAAAATGAATGGGTTGATATGAATCATAGCTTGTAAATGCTTAAACATTTTTTTATATAGAGGACTGCATTCATTATCTAAACACAGAACAATATTAAACTTTTTAACACAGCTGTTATATTTTTGAGTGCTTTTGAACTCAGGTAATAGAGCCTAATGATGATGCTTCATGTACATTCATGATGTCACTGAGCGTGAACTGCTTCACTGAGCCAATGAGCTACTCCGCTCGCCAACAAATCAGAAGTCACTAGATATAATACAAACCAATCAGCAGTCAGTAGCAGTAATGCCAACCAATCAGCACTCAGTAGAAGTGATGCCAAGCAATCAGCACTCAGTAGAAGTAATGCCAACCAATCAGCACTCAGTGGCAGTAATACCAACCAGACCGCACTGAGTGGCAATAATGCTGACCAATCAGCATTCTGTAGCAGTAATGCCAATCAATCAGCACTCAGTAGCAGTAATGCCAACCAATCAGCACTGAGGACTCTCTTGCAGGCGCCCTCTGGCTTTTTGCAGTCATGTTTTGCAATAATGGGAGAAATTGGAAGCGGCCACGCTCCACATGGACCACCGAGTATATTGATGAAGTAAGGACCTGTTTTTTTATTTAAACTGCGGGGCTGGCAACTTAAGTTCTCACCTAGAAATAGGCTGGTCAGCTAGCTAACAGGATAAAAGATAGCCAACAGCCTAAACATCTCCATCATTAGGTTAATACCACAGGCTTGAATTAAAGCACTTACGGTATGATTAACTGTAAAACGGCAGTATAAAAGCCTAAAAAAAATGTCACTTGAATGACTTACACGCTTCAAATGTCCGCGTTCAAATGTCAGCCAAACCCAGGCTGAATCCCAAACGGCTCTGTATTCCCTAAATAGTGTGCTAGCTATGAAAGTTTAGAAATTCTAGCCTCTACAGCCAAATAGTGCATCATTTATCGAGTGTGGATGACTGGGACTATGACAAATGACTATTTCTTAGCTATATTTGCACTGTTGGGGTGCAGGATCCAGTATTTAAATTCCAACATAGTGCACTATGTAGGGAGCAGGGAACCATATAAGATTCAGCCCCAGCACGAGAAGAGGGCACCACTAGGTTGGTGCTAAATAAGACTTGTTGTGGTAATTTGGTGACTTATAAAGCAAAGGTTTTTGCATTAAACAGTGCTTTGTTATCATATATTCATTGTTAAACGACAAAAAGTTAAAAAATTCATGAAATGACCACAATATACAGCGTTGGGTGACCGAATGTTCTCCTCATTCAGGGGTCCAAGGTTGCGTGGCAATGATACCATACTCTAAAGGAACTATACTTCTTGGCGGAATACTTTTATGTCCATTATTATTAATAATAACTCAAATTATTTTCTGAACAACTGTGTATTTTATCATATTTCATGTTGGCTGCCATTTTATAAAAGCAATAAACCACTTGAGACTGTGTGTTACTGCGATTGATGCGAAGCGGAAGTGGCTTATCGCTTAAGTAAAAAATAGA